TGTGCAGACGTGAGCGCACGTTCAGGTTCCTCCTGAACCGGGGGGGATCTCATGCTTTAAATGATTAACGGTAGATTTGCTTATTAGGTCTCCGGCTTCCTGAGATGTGAAATTTAACCCTGCAGACCCCGGAGCTGCATAAAGGCTGACTCTAACTGAGAGTTTCGGCTTTAGAGAAATGCCACTGCACAGGAACATAGCACAGTCAGCTCTTCCGTGTGCAGGCTACAGCTGCTGAGCCAGCTCAGGCTTCAAGGGAAGCTAATTAACTGGGGTCCTCTAATGAAAAATAAAAGGCTGAGCAGCACCTGGAAGGGGGACAGGTCTTGAAGCAACCCAGGTATGACCAGACAAAGCAGAGCTTAACTGCTGGAGCCTGGCTGTACACAGTGCTCTCGGAAAGAGAGGGGTTGTGGTGCTCACCCTGTGTTTAGCCCTGATGGACCTGAGCTTGATCCACAGAGGATTTCTGTTCCCCTGCCCTGAATGCATCCTCACCAGCAGGACTCCTAATATTAACATGGTTTGGGTTTTTCCTTTATCTGAGAATTTTTTTTCCTGTTCAATAACTCTGGATACTCAACTGCTGTCACCTTAAGAAGCAATCGGTCGTCTTACGAATGTGCTCTCTCCCCACTCTATACTAAGGCTCTTCGTACTTAAACTGCAACAGCTACTAAACAGGGAGGAGTCAGGCTTCTACAAATACCCGTTTTACAACGAACAGAATGAACAGGAAGTCAGAGCAGTGCTGTATCTATTGCTGCCTTCAAGTGGTGGAGCAAAGCCTCCGGTGGGGGAGAAAGTGACGTCAGGTCTAGTTTCTTGAAATCTTCATTAGCACTCAACGATGTTAACACCTTCACAGTCCTCTTTAAATCAAACACCGCATGGAGCATGCCCAAGGTGGAAATGGCAGCTTTTGGAGTGTTCTTTGCCGAAGCTTCGTCATCGAGGCCGTTTTCCAAGACAGAAATCCTGTTCTCTGCAATAACTTTGAGGAAGTTGTAGAACTCCTTGTAGTCTATACCCGTGCAAGACTTCATGATCAGCTGGGGGGAAGACAGCAGCACAGAAATGGAAAAAACTCTTAGGTAAATAAGAATTAGAAAAACGTGTTTTATCAAGCTAGTAACTGTCTGGAGTCATAAATAACCATGTTTAATCGTGTTATGTGTAATTCCCCACTGGCAGTAAAATTCTTTACCTTACTTGAAATGCAACCAGCTGTTTCTTCAAAGTACTACAGGGATGTGTATTTCAAAAGTATTTTTGAAGGATATCACCTAGCAGCACTAACAGCCTCCAGAAATAAACATTTGTTTTATGCTTCATATTTCGGAAGCCTCCAAGACATAATGCTGCCAGTATAGTAACACATTCTGAAAGCATCACTTCACAGACACAGAAACCTGCTGCCACCTTCACCTGCCTTTTATAGAATCACAGGATGGGTTGGGTCTGGAGGGACCTTAAAGATCATCCAGTCCCACCCCCTGCCATGGGCAGGGACACCTTCCATAGCCCGGGTTGCTCCAAGCCTCATCCAGCCTGGCCTTGGACACTCTCAGGGATGGGGCATCCACAGCTTCTCTGGGCAACCTGTCCCAGTGCCCCTGCACCCTCTCCGGGAAGAATTTCTCCCTGATATCCAATCTAAACCTCCCCACTTGCAATTTAAACCCACAACCCCTTGTCCTGTCGCTACAGGCCCTTGTGGTTTTTTGCTTGTTGCAACTGTTTCATCATGAATGGTCTTCAAACCACTTCTGTGTGGGGTCTGTTTCATCAGTTCTGTTCACATGAAAAAGCACTTTTATTTTATCAAGGGGAATGTAAATATTACATAAAGCATTGATCTCTGTGTTAACATTACCCCTGAGAGTGGAAGAGGAGCAGTGGAATCATTAGTTTTTCAGATAATTCCTAACCTCCTTGACACAGCAAATATGCACTGAGTCAAGCTTTTCCCTATCTTACGAAAGTAATATTTGTTTTCCTGCAAAATGAATTTGTCACCAGTTCCTCCTTCCTTATGAAATGTGTACTGATTCCAGGCATTTAGAGTTCTGTCTCAGAGCTCTAAGGAAGTGGTGCAACGCACCCTGAATCATCTGATCCTCCAACAGAGTCAGGCAGCCAGCATCGTGGTGTTATACCTGGCATTGTAGGTGCCAGTCGTCTATCGGGTCCTTCCATTCGTTGATCTCCCGTTGGACAGCTGCTAATTCATCCTGCAGGAAGCACCACATGATAGCCACGTTGCAGCCATTCACCCAGTTGTGGTTAATGGAAATGGTATCCTCCTGCAGGGAGAACTGAAGTGGTTACTAGGCTCTGCACAGGAAAGCGTGAGAAAACAGCTGTAACCACCAATGCTGCAACATCAGATTCCTCAGCAAGGGAAATGCTTCTTTGGCACCAGTACCACCGCTGTGCTGGAAGGCTGTCTCTTGCTAACGTCCCTAACAAGCCAATGTTGTTCCACTCCGCAAAGTGGTGAATGTCTCCAGCTCCTCTGAGCATTCCTTTTAAGGGCAGAAAAGTGGCAGAAGGTGGTGGGGAGAAAGAAACAAGGTTGTTAATTTGGGTTTGTAATCACAAAGACCAATTCATTACCATGTTCCATTGTTATATTACAATTTACAGTCAGAAACCAAGAGCGGAGCACTTCAGCTGACCGCGTAAGGACAGCTCACCCTAAGTCCATCTCACCCAGCATCCTGTTTCTCAGTCACTCACAGCGTGTAGTGTGGCAAAGCCTAAGAAAAGAGGGTGCAGACAGCTGCTGCAGTTGTACTCTCCCTGCTGCTAGTGGTCAAGACCCAAGGAGTTTATGAGTTCAGGCTTGCTTTTAGCCATCCCCTTGAGCAGCCACCAACAGGCTTTCCTCTGTGAATCTCTCTGAACTCTTTTTCAGCCTGATGAGACTCTGAGCATCCCAACATGCTGTGGAATTAAAGTCTGATCTGATTCAAGACTGCTTCCTGCTTATATCTCTCTGTTATGAAATAGTTGGCATCAGTTATCTTACCAGATTGTAAACTTGATGATGCCATCCACTGGGGATGAAGACTATCTCCCCTGCTTCCTGCACAATTTCAACAGGGGGTTGACTTTGGTTGTAGCGAGGGTAAACACTCCTGTCTTGAAGACCCGGTGCAGTCACGTCGAAGGGCAAGCTGCCATGGCGGTCTTTCAGGTACTCCTCCTGTCCTGCGGGGTACAACAGCCATTTCTTTCTCCCACATATATTGGCTGACCAGCTATAGGAACGGAAGACATCAGCATGGAATGGAGTCCTGTGGGGCAGATTAGACGTTTAAGTAAAGATGACACTTAAAAGCTGTAAGAGGAATGAATTGAAGTCTTGGAGAATTAGACACAGACACAGAGATCAACCTTTACTATGTGAACCTGATCCCAACCCGTCATCCTCCTCATTTAATTTTCATAGAATCATGGAATG